GCAGATTTTTGATAATGAACGAATGCCTTATGTTCATCCTTTTCAACTCCTATTCCATGGCGATAACAATATCCAAGCCAATTTATTGCATTGTCATTTCCCATCTCAGCAGATTTTTGAAAATGAACAAATGCTTTATGTTCATCTTTTTCAACACCTTTTCCATGTAAATAATTGCATCCAAGGTCAATTAGTTTGGTTGATTGCTTATTCTCCATTTTACTTTTCGAATATGAAAAAAAGAAAAGGATACGAATCTGCAATTGGGCTTATTGATTTCTTTTTTGGAGATAAGTAAAAGTCGTGCAACTATGATTCACCGATTGCCATTTTAGGGGATTTTGTACAGATTCAAGCCATTAACTGTTTATCTATATTTAAGTTTTGAATTGACAAGCATTAATATCAGGCTTAAAACTTTTGGGCAATGTTCAACGTAGTGATGCCAACTTAATTAAAATTAATTTGATTATTTTTTAAGTCAAAAACAAATAAATTTTGTTTTAACAATTTAAACTATACAAACACTGATAAATAATTTTTGCATTATATTAAATGGCTAATCGAGTAAATGTACAGTATAAAGTATAATTGATAAAGTAAATTAAAATATACAAATGGAAATTCAAAGGGACAATATAATTGCATTATGAAAAGAGTATGCTTTTCTATATTGTAGATAAGAAGAATATTTTTGAGTAGTATCTTAAATCTGAAGGAGAGATTCCGACATAATTAAAGATTAGATTTCGCTATGAATTTAGTAGTACATTTTAAGATGAATGAAATTCTAAGGACGGAAATCCAAACGGTCAATATAATGTTGAATTTACCACCAAAACTAATTTCTAAAGAAGTTGGAAGATATTTGAATAGTATTTTAAATCTGATAAAGCAGATAAGTCCGAAGAAAATTCAGAATTGGTTGGACTTCATTGCTGAATTGCGTTTGAAATTTGCTAAAGGCAAAAAAATTAGATAAAAATCTAATGTCGGAAATTACTACCTAAATAGCATAGCCTGTCAATATAATTTCTAAGAATATATTTCATTTATCGAAAATGTCAGCGTTTATAATCAATTGAAATTTATTGATGACCAAAAGTATACTAAAATGGATTGAAATCGAAAGAATGAAAAATAAATGCGTTTGTTTAGATTTGGGGTTGAAATAAGAGAAGCATTCATAAGCTTACTATAAGAACTTACTTATGGTTTAATTTATATGTTTCTGTATTTTATTATGATAAATTCAAATTATTTATTATCTATTTTACAGAAGAAGTGTATCTTAATCAAAATGTTTATGAAAATGTCTTAATTATTGTTAGTAATTTTTTTATTTACATTTTTTATGCTACTCGTTATTTTTATATTCGACATAACTAATCTCGTCTTAAATTATTAAACATCGTATTGCTTTTGATTTTTAGAATCAACGAAAGATGCATATTATGCAAAAGAAATTGATCTTTGGGAACAAATCCTCAGAAATCCTTATCATACTTCAGAAGACGAGCAAAATGCTTTGATATTTATTTTAAAAAAATTTAGATAACAAAATTCAATAAAACAATTAGCTGATGTACTTTACAAAACTAATATTATAACTTCTTTGAATCTCGAATGGACTAAATTTGATACTGATGAAGACAAATTTTGGCGAATATTATTTGCAAAAATACTAAAATAACTTTAGATCTTAAATGGGATCAACTTAGCACTGAAGGTGAAAAAGGATTAACTAACGCTATTTGCAAAAATTCTACTATAGTTCTTAAGTGAAATAAACTTGGCATTGAAGGAAGAAAAGCGTTGGCAAATATTCTTTGTGAAAACGCCACTATAACTTTTTTAAATCTTTCCGAAAACCAGCTTTGTTCTAAAGATATAAAGTTATAACTAAAGCTCTTTGTAAAATAACTTTCTTAAATCTTTTTGACAATCAACTCGGTTTTGAAGGTGTAGAAGCATTGGCTATAACTCTTTGTAAAAATAAAACTATAACTAGTTTATCTAGGATGGAATAAATTTAGCTTTAAAGAAGGAAAGTATCATCTAACATTATTTGCAAAAATATTAAGATAACTTCTTTAGATCTTAGATGGAATGAACTTGGCTCTGAAGGAGGAAAAGCAATATCTATTGCTCTTTGTAAAAATAAAACTATAACTTCTTTAAATATTTCTAGAAATAAACTTGGTTCTGAAGGAGTAAAAGCATTAGCAAATGCTCTTTATATAT